GTGAAAGTTATTTTTGACATGTGTAGGCCCTGCTGCCACTGGACCTGCATGAGGAATTCATGCATAGCTGCATTTTGAGTTGCAATGTTCCTCATGTTTGCAACTATTTGGGCTACTTTAGCAGTTAGCCTTGCGGCTACTCTACCGCCTCGGCGGTGACAATGGTGAGGTCTCTGGTGTGATTTGCTCAAAGAACCTCTTCTTTAGAGGCTTCTCTCATTCTCCTAGGATTAACATCCTCGTTACTTAAATTTTACTTCATTTTCCAAGAATGTTCAAACTGAATTGTTAGCTTTCACTTAGTTCTTTTTCAAGAACGCCTTTCTTCAAGGGGAAAGCTTTTCTCGGGATCTTTCGTTGGGCTATTTCCAGTGACAAGTGGAAAACTAAAATGGCAATGTATTTCTCACAGACTGCGCCAATCTGTTCACCTCGCAAATTGGTCCTTCCACGTGACCAACTGAGAGCTACTCCACGTGTTCCTCCCTACACGCAACAACAAATGATCATGCGTATATGGACGTTCCCAGAGGTGGTTATGGCAACCATATACACTCCGATGATCAAGTCAGTTGACGGTGGTGGTGATCTTCGTCGAAATATGCAAACCAAGAGAGGGAATGAGAAAAAGTATATGCTTTGTGGTGAAATAACCCTTACCCCTTATTAGCTAAGCCTTTAGGTATTTATAAGCAAAAGGCGCCGCTAGATGCAATGTTTTGAAAATCGGACTGAACCGGTCAGTTCAACCGAAAAAACGGGGAATTGGTCCCAAATCCAGTCCGATACTAATAGATTAATCGGAAATGAAAAACTAATAAATAACCGGTCGAACTGGTCATTTTAGCCGAAAACCAAAAAATCGATCACAATTTTTACCCCTTTTATTCAAAATAATAATAATAATTACTTTGATAAATGGGCTCAAGCATTGACAAGCCCAATTTTACCTTCCTTCCAATCCAAGTGTTATTTTTAAAAGAGAAGAGTCATGTAATGTTTTCCTCAACTTTCAATATGGAATAAATTGTGTAATCTTTCGCAATTTATATATTTAATAATTGTTCACTTTTTTTCTTTCTATTAATCAAATTTTTGCCCCTAAAGCACAAATAATTTCAATTTTAACGAAGTAAATTATTTTAGACGCAACAATTGTTAGTTTTTATGTTTTAAAATAAATTATATGATAATAAATCTAATTGACAAATATTGATTTATATTTACTTTGAATTAGCAATACTACAATTTTAAAATTTGTTGTTGTTATAATATTTTATAGTTTGCTAGAGTATTTTTATTTATTTAATTTTGTTATTTGATTTGACCCTGGTTCGACTATTTGACCCTTAACCATTTTTCTTTTCCGGGTCAATGTTCGGGTTGGTTTTTTAAACATTCGCTAGATGCAAGACACGTGGACTTATACAACGGTGCGAGGCATCTGCTAGTAGGTGTCC